ACCATCACCACATTTGCCAGCCATTCTGGATATTGACAGGGCTCGATGAAGCCCACGTCCAGCAACATTTTGACCTCGGCTGCGATGTCTCGGTTCTTATTTTCGGAGTAATTCCGCTTCTTTTGCTTAACTGGCCGACACGTTGGGTCGACGTTAAGCTTATGGGAGATGAGGTCTGGACTTATCCCAGGCATATCAGCTGCCGAGAAAGCAAACACATCTCTGTTGTCTTGAAGGAGTTGAATAAGTTCACAATGGGTGCTCGGATAAAGGTCCATACCGATTGTTACACATTTCTCAGCATCTCCTTCGGTCAACTCAACCGTTTCAGTCTGCTGGTCCAGGTCCATTGTTAATGGACTGGACTCTTCACAATCTGGTCTGTTGTCTATGTCAGCAGGCGTCCCAGAATTTTTCTTCTTCGGCTGGCTCTCTGAGTCTTTCGGCTCAGATGAAGAGCTAGCCTTTTCTTTTTCTTGCCCTTTTTCTTTGGGCACAGAACCTTGGGCCGAAGCACTTAGACCTTTCGGCTTTTTTGTGCTCGTCTCTCTTTCTTTTTCTTTCTCCTCCTCATCCTTATCGTCGTCATCTGGGCGACTAGTGGATGGCTTGAGGTAGTTGCACCTTCGGGCCTCCTTTTGGCTGCCCTAGACCCTTTCGGGGAAGCCAGCGTCTGAAACGTAGATCACCAGCTGATGATAAGTTGAGACGACCCCTTGGATCTCGTGAATATTGGGTCTCCCCAAAATCACGTTGTACACTGAAGGAGCGTCGATGACCAAAAATTCGGTCATGACGTTCCTAGTTGCTTCATCGCAGGCGATGGTGATAGGAAGCAGAACCTTCCCATCAGGATAAGTTGAATCCCCGTTGAATCCGGATACTGGGTAGGATACCGGCGTGAGGTGCTTGGGCTTCAGCTTGATTTGATTATAGGCCTTTCGGAACAAAATATTTGCTCCGCTACCACCGTCAATTAAAACTTTGCTGACGTCGTGGTTGGCCACTATGGCGATGATCACCAACGGGTCCTCGTGAGGGTACGTCACCCCCGACACTCAGCGGCTGTGAACGTCATGTTCGACACCGGTGACTGGGGTGGATGAATGTCAGCATGGTTCACCTGATGGGTCAGAGCCCTGAGGTGATGTTTGTGCTACCTCGGAGAGCATGCTCCTCCCGAGATAACATGGATTGGAGGGAATTTTCCTTCCGTAGTTTTGCTGTTCTTTTGGGGGAAGTCAATTTCTTGCCGAGAGTCCTTTTCGGATTTCTCAGCCTCTTTTTTCTCGCGGTGATCCGCGATATATTTTTTCAAGTACTCCTTCCGGACCATATCTTCGATTTGGTCCTTCAGCTGGATACACTCCTCAGTGTTGTGTCCCGGTGATTCATGGAACTCGCACCACTGATTTTTATTTTTTCGCTGATACCACTCTGGGAGTGGTCTCGACTTTCTGTAACTCTGCTCCTCCTTCGTTACACTGTAAATTTTGGCGCGCGGAAGAGAGAGCGGAGTGTAGGATTCGTATCTGCCCGCAAAGGGAGCAGATTTTTCCTTCTTCGACTCGTTGGCCGAAGATTGTTCCGAGGCTTTTGCCTTTCCCTTTGCCTTCTGGCCTTGGCCTTGGCCTTCAGACAAGGGTGCTTGTTTTTGTTTCCCTCCCCTAGATTGAGGTTGGGTTTTTGTTTTGTTCCACTCTTTAACTCGGATGAACTTATCCGAAGCATTCAGTGCCTCCTCCAAGGTCTTGGGTGAATTCATGACCATGAAGTCGGAGAACTGCCCAGCTCTGAGACCGCGCTGAAGGGCGAAAACTGCCAGCCCTTGGTTCAGCTGAGAAATGTTGGACGACTCGTTGCTGAAGCGAGTTAGATAGTCTCGGAGGCTTTCAGCCTTCCCTTGCTGAAGACCCATGAGTTCTACAGTAGTCTTCTCCCGGCGGTTTGTCGTGGAAAACTTGCTCTTAAACTTGGAGGACAGATCGTCCCACCCGGTGATTGAGCCTTCTTTCACTCCCTTGGAGATCCACGCTTGCGTGACCCCCTTGAGAGTGGTTGGAAAATATTTGCACCAAGTCGCTTCGGACCTGGGGCAAAGATGCATATGAGCCTCGTACGAGGCAATGTGGTCCTTCGGATCCGAAGTCCCATCATATGTAATGTGCGACGGTATTTTAACCGTAGGCACATGCTCTTCTAGAATCCATTGCTCGAATGGGGAACTGGTGGGTAGCATAACGGCCTTGCCTTTGTTCCTGGCCGAAGGGACCGCGCTCCGCCCTCTTAGAGAGGTAGGAGTGGTTTTCGTCCCTGGCTGGGAATTTTGGGCCTCGGCTACAGGGAACGAAAGGCGGCTGTGCACGCTCGGCTCCCTGCCGCCGAGTCGGTCGAGTACGCTTCGGCGAACAGTCTCAGGTCGCTCTCGGCGGGCAGATTCCGGCCGAGAGGCTGAGCTGCTGCTCTTGTGCGTTTATGGCCGAGAGGTTGAGGATCCTTTGAAAAATTGAGGGTTCTTTTTCCTCTCTCTTTCAGTTCTCCAAGTATCCTCTTCCCACTCTTCCAGCTCCCGGAAGGAGGGAGGCTTCCACCCGTCATGGTCTAGCTTCCTCCGCTGATGCCTGGTATGCGGAGGAGTTCGATCACGAGGTGGAGGCATGTTTTGTGCCCTCATTGCCTCCATGAGCACCGCCAGCGCTCTCGCCACTTCTTCCGAGATGGGCCCCGTCAAAGGGGTCCTCGGCTGAGTGTGAGTGTGAGAGTGAGAACGGATGGTCAAAGGTTGGCTTTGGGGCACCGAATGAGTCCTATGATCGGACTGACTTCTGTTAGACCGAGGGGGACTCGGTCTATGATGAGAGTTGTGAATTACGGGAGAAAGGGAATCCTCCCGGTATGACCCTCCCCCCGAACTAGTACCCTTGGAAGAGTTCCGGTCCGGCGAAGGTGATGGTGTAGGAGTTTTAGGCCTTTCGCCCGCTCCTTGACGTAGGCTTTTGTTCTTGCGGTTCTTAGCCATTGCTACTAAGATGATTGCAAGATGATTTTGATTGGCTTAAAGATTTTTGAAAGTCTTCCCCACAGACGGCGCCAAATTGTTTCGGGTGAAAACAATGGGACCTTGCCGAAGGTCCAATGTAGTGGATGAAGACTAGGCTCGGTCCAAGTGATGTTGGGCCGAGGGTTTCCTACACAGCAAACACACGTAAACTAGCCTCGGGGGTGTTGCCGAGGAAGGCCCCTTCGATGCTAAAGTCAGTACAATGTGTAGAGAGAGAAAGCTATGCAAGAGAATTAATTGCTTGAGGCTTTGTGTGAATGAATGTATAAATGTGATATTGATGGCTTTTATACCTTTGCATATATGGGAGAAGTGGGCCTTGGCCTAATTGACTTGCCTTGTGGACTGATCTTGACTTTAGCACAATTAAAGAGTTGAACCTTGACCTTGGGCTTTTAATTGGATCATTTAATGACTAGGCCCAATTGGACTAAATTGGACCCAAACAATGGCTAAATAATATTAGCATGAATTAACTTGGCAAAGGAAGTTCTAGTGCAGTGATGCTTACAGTTGCGGCTGCGAATACAAGAAGAACAGAAAAAAGACATTTGCAGGGGAAAGTCGGCAAGCGTCAAAGTATGTCTACCGCAAGTCTGTAATAATGTGATATAGAGGGGTTAAATTCCTTATTTTTATAGGTTTCGGTTGGCAATTATCTTTTAGGAGATTAAAACCTAGTACAACTAGGAGTCTAACCTTGGGGCTCAAGAATTCCCATAAACCAAACCTGGTACTTAAAAAAAAAAAAAAAAAAAAGATACTAGTGACTTCCAAGTCAAATAAAAGGGTCGAGACCTTGTCACGCCAAACACTTCAAATCGTGTATGGGACACAGTCTCGAGGGGGCAATTTGTAGACACGAAAATTTTATGGGTGTCATACATTAAATTAAATAAATTAATTTGGGTTAAAATCATATGAATGATCCATTTTAATTAATTTTGGCCCACCCAAATAAATAATCTGAATTAATTAAATACAATTCGAGTTATAAAATAAATTAAACGGACTAGGTTAAAAGACTTTTAAGTCGTAAAATGGGTCAGGCCCAAACCTACTAAGTCCACTTAAGGGGTTCTCGTCTCCTATAAATACACCATTCCTCCATCAGTTGAGGGGATCCAGAAATCATTATTCTAGGAGCTCATAAAACTCAAAAGGAATTCTCTCTGAAGTGAGTCAACAAGCACATCAAATTCGTGCCGACTTGTTCAGATACACTTAAACACATTTGAACGGGATTAAGCTTCATAAGCCCTCGTTCAGGTGTATTCAAACAAAATCCTCGAATACAGGTTGACATCATTAAACGTCACCCTGCATTCAAACTCAAGTCGACATCATCAAACGTTACCCTACAGGTGTCACACACGTGTCATCGTCAAGCTGCGGAACAGAATCAGAGGATTTAGTTTATTTTATTATAAAATGTTATACAGAGATTGTACCCAAAATTCACATATTAATATAAAATTCATTTGTTACTTTATTTCCCGTCTTTATTTATTTAGACTCGTGTAAACTATGTGATTTGAGACAACCTAGAAAACCTTCATTTTTCTTACTAAATAAACTTATTTGCTTTCTCATTTTGGTCTGATTCAGGTTTATGCCATTTCTCCTTGAATATATTGCATAATCTCATATATAATTTGCTTAATTTTTATAGCATGATGAAGCTTTTGTTCTGATGAATTCTCTTTGAGATTTGTCGTCCCAAATAGTAAATTATTTTGTGGCTTATGTTTCAAGGTAAAGCTGTTAAGAAAGTATGAGTAGCAGAATTGTCTGAAATTGAGCTTAGTTTTCTTGTTTCATCCACCTGACTGCACTGGTTTAGGCACTTGATGTGACTTTTTCATACAAATAATATTAAGGAAGATAAAATTTCTGAAGCTGCTTGGTTTGGGCAGCGAAACTTGTTTCAATCAAAGCATCACAGCAAAGAAAATTGTTACCAATAAACATATTAAGTACCAAAAGAACTTATAACACTAAACACGATAACATAAATAGGCCGCTATTGAATCTAGCTTACCCCAAAAAAAAAAAAAAAAAAAAAAAAAGCTAAGCACAAAAAAGTAGATACAAGATAAATCCTGCACATATTTCCTACAACCAAGATTTTTAGTAAGGTCAATAAAGTTATGAGATCAGATGAGTAACAAGTTAATAACCCCGAAGAATCATTTTGTTGTGTTGTGTTTTTTTCCCTTGGCATCATGACACACTGTTTATGCTAGCGATGAGGGTCAGCCCCTCGCCTTTGAGTAGGAGATGTAGCAAAATTCTGAGAAAATGGCAGTAAAGAAGGTGAAAGCAGCTCCAGCTGCAAAGACTCCTTTCCTTAGAGCCTCACATGATGGTGGGTTCTCTCCGATGAACACCCTGTATTTTGTATGGTATCCATTCCTTACAGAAGCCGCCAATAAGCAGACCTCAGCAACGATGAAAGTCAGCCTGGTATAGAAGATTCAGTTATTCAAGGAGAAAAATATTGCTGAATATTTGTTATAAAAGGTTACTTAAATTATGTACTGTTATGAGTCAGGTAAAAAAAATTATACCAGCAGAAGATGAAAAGAGTGGTGGCACAAGCCCTTGATCCTCCCGGCCTTAGACCCTTTCCACAGCATAAACAACGGCTAGCTGCCATAAGAACTACTTGGCTAGCCAAAAGACAGAAAAATGCTCCTAGCCCATATCCTGTTGCAACAGTGTCTGTATTATACCGACAGTATTGATAGTTCAAGTCTCGGTCTGAAATTATTTGGGCCTGTCATTCAAAATCAATCACTTATATCATTTCCTTAATAATTCTATATAATACTGCTTTTATGAAACAATCTTCATCTTTGGAAGCTGGGTGGTCCAGTCTGATAAGCTGAAAGCCTCTAATTTTTAGCACTAGTTGGTGGTTCTGGCTTTTGATCCAAGATGATAAAAAAAAAAAAAGGATACTTAGTTTGCTTTTTACTTGACAGTGCAGGGATTACAAAGAAGGCCAAGATGATGGGAAAAATTTTAATCTTAAGAAGCCGTTACAAATCCTGCTTTTTTTCTTATACATTATGAGTTTGGAAGATACAAATCATCTGCAAAATCTGAAAGTTCAGCAGTTTCTGGTTCAAAGTTTTGCCTTGATGTTTTACTCATAAAAAACACGAGCAATGATCATGAAATGTATTTTTGTTCGATTCTCATCGCCAAGTGTTTTGCAATTTAGCTGAGAAATAAGAAACTTTTTACCAAACATAAAAGACTTCTCATGATATGAGCCTATATGACTATATGTAATTATGTATTACAGCAAGAACATAAACAAAGTGCATGATAGTAGAGTATTAGGTAAGGTTGAAAAGTATGTAGCTTAATGTGTAGCAATTCAGCCTTGATTAGCTTAATTTTTAACAAAAAACTGGCACATTACACAATTTTAAACTCAAACCTCAAAACTGAGCAGATCAGAAGATCAATGAAACTAGTTAGAAGACTGTTAAATCAGGAAATCAATTAAATTCTAAAAGTTCTGTTTTTTCTTTGTTTCTGTAAGAGTACTGGGAAAATCTACCAGATCCAGTATACATTAAATTAAATTTTCTACTAAATCAAATCAAATTACGCACAATCACCATTGACACAACCATCATTGCATCAGAGAAGTTCTAATCTATGCTGCACGAAAACGGAGACAGTAAATGATATAGAGCGATAAACTTACAGTACTCCGTCTCTTTTCAGCATTGACAGCAAGCCCAAAAGCGATGATATCCAGGATCAAAATCAAAATTATAACAACCTTTGAAGCCATGATTTGGTAATTAAGCTTGCAACTTCCAAAAAGTTCTTCAGATATGTAATTTCTCCTTCTGTTTATCTCTTACTCTCAAGAAAAGATAGATATGAGTTTAACAGCTTTATAAATGCTGGCAATGGCATCTGATCTGCTTGAATATTTTATAAATGCTTACAGAGTTAAAATGCTTTGACACTTTCATTCATGCTTAAGTTTTTCTGGCACTGATGCACATGATTTATTTTCCTCCATTAATAAAGTCAACGATAATTATATAACCGTAAGATTAAATAACTTTATCAAAGGTAAGATTTTGTTGACTTATGAAGTAAATTGCAGGCTACATGTGGACCGACCAACCGAACTAAAGGATACATCACATTATGTATTGTTAAATTTCGAAACAATATGAAATGGGTCTGGGCAACCCGAACAAAGAGGAGGAGAGTTTGGGCCACAAACAAGGCTTTGGAGCTTCCATACTAAAACCAATTGGCAATAGTAGGAGGTACCCCTCTACCTTATAAAGTGAAATCATCTCTCCTCTTTCTCCAATGTGGGACACTCATAAGTGGACTACAATGGTTTTCAACAGGTATTGGTTATTTTCAGTCCCTAAATACCCTTCCTTGCACTATGCATTGGAGAGCGGCCAAAACTAAAAAGTCGTGATTTAGTTCAGGATGCTTCGGCGACAGCAGCAGCAGCAGCAGCCAGCTACTTGCAAAGTCGGGAGATTTATTTCAAGTGACGAAATGTGTGGAGTTGGAGGAGATAATTGTATTTCAAAGTCTCCAACATTCCAACACTTCATCCTCAAGCATTAGATGATAACAAATTGCAAAGTATCTGACACTTCCCTTTGGGTTAAGACTTCAGAAGTTCAAAGTACTGAGATTTCTACCAGATTTACATAATGTATACAAGAAACGACATTATGAATGTTCAATGCTAGAGAATAGAGATGATGCTACTCTCAGAACGACTTATCAGTCTCTTCATCCAGACTGATCTGTAGATAAATCTGTATGACTCAGACTGGTGGAAGGTACAAAATCTTTGGGACTTCCCCAGAGACTCCAGGTTCTCTCTTCTAGGATGACTATGATGTTATCGTGGATGATTGATTCCGGTTGGATCATATTGTAAAGTCAGGGTTTTCCTTTGTACATTTGAATGCAACACACTTAATCAAAATTCACTTGCCAGAGTTCATACAACTGATACCACTCTTATCAGTAAAATTTCTTAAGTTTAGAATTTGAAAAACTGATACCATAAACACCGAAAGCCATGGATGTTGCCAAAAAATATAGCAGTTATTCATATTCAAGTCACACTAACCAAAGAATCAGGACATTACAATAACAGGAACCATCTATTATATGTTTCTCTCTCACAAATCAGCAAGAATCTAACAAAACAACCGGACAAATACACAACCAACACACAAACATTGAATACGTGACACTGCAACTTGTAAGAATTTCTAAAATCAAGATTAATGGCCAAAAAGTAGTTCTTGTAAGCACATCAATGAAGACCCCAAAACATCATATATAGTGAGTTGTTCTTGGAATTTAAGGACTATACTGATCTATGTACTGTGCCTCATGGTCTGAAGGTGTCCTTTGCTTTTGAGTAGAAAACATAGTAGAAATTAGAGACAATAGCGGTGAAGAAAGTGAATGCAGCTCCGGCTGCAAAGACTCCTTTTCTTAAAGTTTCACATGATGGGGCTCGGTCTTCATAGAAGGACCTGTATTTAGTGTGGTAGGCATTTCTTGCAGAACCCGCCAATAAGCATATCTCCGCAATGAAGAATGTCAACCTGACATGAATGAAAATTTCGTAAAATTAACAAGGTGAAAGTTAAAAGGTTCTGAACTATGAAGCGAAGACACAAAATTCCCAGTAAAAGGACAACGAAAATTGAATTTTAACATTTTCCTATGACTTCAAAATTATTCAAGAAAGTATTTGGGCTGGGGCATAGATTTCTTATCTTGAATTCAGCAGTTTATAAAAAGAATAATAAAAAGCTTTTTCAGTTTGGTTCAGGATAAACTTGATTTGCTCTGGTTAAATTACTATGATAATTCAGGAAATATGAAGTTCTATGACTTCAAAACTATGACAAATACAGTTACAAGTTAAGCAACAGATATATAAAGGACATACCAGCAGACGATGAAAAGCATGATAGCACAAGCCCTTGCTCCTCCTGGACCGAGAGCCTGACCGCAGCAGAAGCATTTGGTTGCTGCCATGGCAATCGCTTGGCCAGCCAGAAGGCAGAAAAATGCACCAATTCCATATCCTGTGGCAATGTCTGAATTATACTGACAGTACTTGTAGTTTGCGTCCGGATCAGATACGATATGGGCCTGTTCATAGACAAGTCTGTCAGCTACATGTCTAAACAAAATGCTGAGATTCATATATTCAATAGTTTGGTCTTTCAGAAGTCAGTACTGTAATATTCTAACAATTCTATCAGCTAGTTCATGGATCTTGCTTCCTGTTCTAAAGTCATCAAACCAGTGGCATTATTCTGTTTGAATTCAAGCATTACAAAGAAAGCATAACTAACAGAACCAATCTGAGCTATCAAATATCAGCTGCAGTCGGAATAACCCGAAGATCTTAGCTGTGTTCATTTTGTTGTTACTTCTGTTTAAAGTTCTTTAAACATATGAAAATTAGACACCCTTTCTCTCCTTCCACAAGAAGCGAAAAAAACACGAGCTCAAATCGTAACACAAAAGGCATATACAGCCTAAATTTAGCCTAACTGCTTAAGACCTTATTGACAAATTTGTTACTTCTCATACAATTAGGCAAAGTAGATCATTTCATAACTTAAAAAATTCATAAAAACAGAATCACAGCTAAAAAATCCAAGCTTCATAGCAATTGAACAGCAAAACAACAACGATTAACAATAGATTCGTCTTTAAAATCGAAATTACAATATAATTTATGGACTATATGAGTGATTGAGGCTCCAATTATTTGCTAAAATCAATTAGATATGACTAATATCAACACCCACATGGATCCACAGCTAAAATAGTCTCTCAAGGTCAAGATTTTTCCAGTTATATAACATAAATTATACTACAATTTAACTCAATTATTATTCAGCATATCATTGGATCAACAAACTTCAATGGATTAAAAATTAATTGATCATAAAAATTATTAAAAATAAATAAAATCCCTCTGAGTTTGCTCTGTTTTATGAGAGCAAATAAATAAAAAATATTGCATAATTGACGAATGCTGTCAGATCAAGCAGAACTAATCATAAAAATTAAATAAACCAATCAAAATAAACACAATCACCCTTCAAATCAAACAACCCATCAGCTAAACTCCACTCCTACCGTCCAAATTTAGTTGTCACGTTACAATTACAATTTACACTATCAACATGACTATTAATTCCGTCCCTAAAAAAATATCATCTAAACAATCACATACAAAGAGAAAAAAAACTTACAGTGCTTCGTCTTTGTTCAGCAGCAACAGCAAGACCAAAAGCAATGACATCAAGAACAATAATGGCAATAATAACAAGTTTTGAAGCCATAATTTTTCACAAGTTTACAAGATCTGGGTTTTATTTATTTATTTTCTCTCAAAATTAATTTTTGTAGTTGATAAAAGTGAAGAAATGTGGTATAATTTAGTTTAGAACTTTAAGAGTAGGTGGTACTTAAGAATTAAGACAGAAAAAAAAGGTGTGGAAGGTGAAGTAGTGAAGTGGAAGCATCTAATGTAACCGCTGGAACTCAGAAATGAATACGACTTAATAACAGCTTAGTTAAAGCTGGCATATGTCTTTCTTTAATTTCGACTTCTTTTTATTTTATGTGTAAATTGTTGTAATTTATAGTAATATGTATGGTTTGTTCTGATTGACTGAACTGAGGGTTTTTAGTTTTGTTCAGTTCTGCTCATTTCAGTTCAGTTCAATTCAGCTCTTAATTTCCTTTTCTTATAAAATATTCATTTCAGTTCAGTTCAGTTCAGCTCAGTTCAGTTCGGTTCAAGTGATTTAAATCTATTAGAACAGGCCCTGAGTTGAACTGAAGTGAACTGCACTTATTAGAGCTGAGCTGAACTAAAGTGAACTGAATATTTTGTGAGAGAGGGAAATTAAGATAAGAACTGAACTGAACTGAACTTATTGAAGCTGAACTGAACTGAACTGTATATTTTATGAGAGAAGGAAATTAAGATAAGAAATGAATTGAACTTAATGAAAGTGAACTGAACTTATTGAAGCTGAACTGAACTAAACTGAAAATAAGCCGAAGAGAATAGGCCCGCAGTGTCTCTAAATTTCTAGAAAAAATAATCCGATATGCTTAAAATACTACTCCCTCCGTCCCTAAATTACATTCCCACTTCTTTCTATAATGTGAGGAATAAAAGCTAGAAGTAAGAAATGTAATTTAGGAACGGAGTGAGCAGTAGTAGGTGTTTTTAAATGAAAATGGGATAGTACCAACTTTAATGTAGTCTGACTTTTGACTACCAAATTTTTTTAAATTTGACGGCTAAAATTATTTGTTTTTTGATTTATAAGCTGTTGATGAATAAGCAATAACATTAGATGAATAAGAACCAAAATTATAAAAATAAAATAAAATTGCCACATTTTTTTTTTTTGAATAGAAATAAAATTACCACATGTTGATGAATAAGCAATAACATTATATGTTCATTTTTATTTACATCTAAAATATTCAGTTATATAATATTAGATGTATAATTTTTTTTTTATTTTTTTTTCAGTTTCATAGTCTTTTTATTTAACTCTTATATTATACTCCGTATTGTAAATTTTCATTTTTATATATTGCAATATTCAGAAATAAATATTCATTTTTTTTTTTCTATTAAATGTTCATTTATATTGCACTACTCCAGCTAAACATCTGTGTTTAACTAGACGAACAAATTAAGTTGGACATACATACATGATCACCTTTTTGTCCTAAATGTTGTTGCAACTCTATATGCTCTTTCTATTTCTCTTCTCATCAACAATGGTACACATTCATATGTTTTTATTTGCTTTAGTAGGTAAGGTGAAGTGCACTATTGGACCAGAGTCACCAGAGCATCTCAAATGCCAACTATCCCCGGATGCATGGGCAAGGATTCATGAAATTAGGGATGTAGTGAGATGACAATTTTACCACTAGATCAAGTACTAAAAAAAAGTTGACAATTTAGGGAAAATAAAGAAGATCGCTTTTGATATTTCTTGGTATTAAAGATGTTTTTTACTTTTTTTTTTTTTTTTTTGGTAAGGAGAAAGACCCTACTGGAACATCGGATCAAGACCTCTCACAAGCTCTCCCAACCCGGGATAGCAAGCTAGTACATAGATAAATCTAGTAATCTATAGTATTACAATATGTTCAAATTTTAGGCAAAAAATATACCTCAAATGTAAATATTATACAATTAGTAGTGTGTCGGTGAGGTCCAAGTCTTAACATAAAACGGTTGAACACGAACAAAACGCCATTGTTTGATTTGTCGGTCATCTTTCTTTGTCTTCCGGATCTCATAATAATTTATGTACCACATGCACTTTAAAGATTTCTTTATTTCGAAAATTCATTTAATTTATTAAGCAATTTGGAGAATATAATTAAAAAGTCAGAGAGAAATGGAGGAAATTGGATCAAATCAAGTTGTTACAATAAATTTCATATATTTTCCAAGATATTAATTTTGATTTCAAATAAGCTTTCCAAATATAGGTGTAATTGTTATTTTATTTTTTTTCATCTAAACAAATTTGACTTTAAAATTATTGATTTACAGATATTAATACTATGATTACATGAAATATATTTAAAATAAAAAATTTCTAACCTTTGATAAATACAATCAATTATAAGGGCCGTCGATTCACATTTACTTAATTCCAGTTCAGTTCAACTCCAATTAGTTCAGTTCAGTTCCAATCAATTCAGTTTAGTTTAGTTCCAATCAGTTCAGTTCAGCTCCTAATATCTCTCTCATAAAATATTCATTTTAGCTCAGCTCAGCTCCACTCAGTTCAGTTCAATTCAGTTCAGTTCAGCTCAGCTCAGTAAATGAGAACATACCCTAAATCTTTCATATGTAAGTACAAAACGGGATACGTATGGCAAGTAATTATTTTTATGACACAATTTTGGTATGTGGTTGGCCAGACCGTGTGGCTAGGGTTATTTATTCTAGGGTTACTTATTCTGGGGTTATTCATATCTTTTGGTCATTTATTATTTATTTAAAGATTACTCATTTGGTAAGGGGTAAATTATAGGGATTACTTATTTAAAGGTTACTTATTCAAGAGTTATTCGGTCGGTCAGGGGTGGGGTTACTCTCACACACAAAACGCACTAACCGACTGAGTAAGTAACTCTACAAATAATCCTTGAATAAGTAATCCTTACAATTAACCCCTAAATATCTCGCCTTTTAAGTGAGCCAAGAATAAATAGAAGTATGGAGTATATACTAGTCAAGTGATCACATTTTAAATGTTTTTTTTTTCTTTTTCATGTACACATAGTCACATATCCACAATCTTACTATAATTACTTTGCCTGAAAAAATCTTTACATACTTAAACTTTTTGTTTCCATGGAGATCTCTAGAAAATCATTTTAAAAAATGGAAATTAAATATTATAACCAATTTTCTATAGTAAAAAAAAGGTAATGAAGAAGATTATATGTTTTATCTACGTTTAATACACGTTTAAGGGGCTAAAAAAATCAGCACAGAATAATGTTAATACGAGTATATTAATAATTTCTCTTTCAAAATATCTAGGTCATACTTTTCGATTTATCTCCTTTCAAAAGCAAGTACGCTAAAGAACGAGGAACTTAATAATGGGTTTTTTTAATTTTTGTATGCCTTTCCAAAGCTATGAATCCAGAAGCAAAGCTTCTAAATGGTAATCAAATTTTTTGTTTATTTTTTATTTTTATTTTTTTACTTTTTCTCCTGTAAAAGTTGATAGCTACAATACGATTAGTAGTAGAGGTTTTAATGATTTTTTCGTGTTGCTTTTAGAGTTTGCCTCAAGTAAGTTTTTTTGAAAACATTGCCTCAAGTAATTTATCTAAGAGATAAACAAAAAAAAAAATTATCACATGATATTTTCATATATAATTTAATATTTTATTTAATTTTAAATTCATCATCAAATGTGAAGCCTATATTTAATGAAAATTATTAATTTATTTATGAAAGGGTCATGAGAGATAAACAAATTGATCTCTGTATTTTCCCTGTAATAACAAATTAACAAGGTTATACAAGACTTATACTTCCTCCATTCTATTAATATTGCAACAATGGACTTTTTGCACTATTCATCACTCTTGTTTGACCATATAATATGAGTTATACGTTAAACAAAATATAGTCAAGTGGGATATTGTTGGATTCGTCTTATAAAATACTTTCACAATATCAAGTTTTTATAATTTTTACGCTTACACAATAATAGATATTTAGCATATAAATTGTGTTTTGGGATGCGTAATTTCCTCCTTGTTGCAATATTAACAGAACGGAGGAAGTACAATTTATTTTTTTAATTAAAAAAGGTGACTTATGCATAGTTGCGTTAATTGTTTACACTATATAGAGTTTTTTTTGGTTAATAAGTCACAGTACGTTGTGATGTAAATGTGAGTTAAAATAACTTTCAAAATCTAAACTTTATAGTATAAGGACATAAATCATTAATGGTCAATTATGAAATAGTTTTGTAATGGAATTTACTCGTACAAAATTTTTTACATTTGTATTTTGTATTTTGTATTGTTCAAAATGTACACATTTGAACATTTTCCGATTCCATGAGATCTTGGGATCGATTCTCATCACCCGCACTTGTGGCTCTCTAAACACTAAAAAAAAATACATATGAAGTACTTTGTATTTTAATTTAAGGAAAATTAATAATTTGAAGCTTAAAAGCAAAATGTTTTATACTTGATATATTTTTAATTATTATACTTGTTATATTTTTTCTTAAATCAGCAAGAAGCCCATTGAACAACTTCTATATCGCCTCAAGTTCCTGCAAGCAAGGAAAAGTACAATTATCGCCCAAACATGTGAAGATATGGCTAAGCTCCTTCAAATTGGTGACTTTCAACGAGCTTCCAACTTGGTATAACTCCAAAGACATACTTATATGTAATATAAGCTTCATAGATGTCTAACATGGATCAACCATTTCAAAATTAATGGTGGAATATACGAGACAACTATATTAAACCGTAAAATCATGATAAATCCCTAATGATGTGAAATAGCAGGTTGCAGTCCAATTAATTCCGAATGGAAGGTTAAGCTTAGACCAACTTAATTATCGACGTGATTTTTGTTATATAGGTTGAAGAACTATACAGGGAAAAATGCAGAGCCACTGCTTACATACTGATCACTGAAGCCGGCGAATGCATCTTCCACAACCTCAGCAGCATTACCAGAAACAGGCATTACCTCTGTTATTAAGTACTTTGTATTTTCTTGGTTGTGACTTGTGATGTTTTTGCACTCATCGCTGTCTCTCCCTCTCCACCCCCCCCCCCCCCTCTTCTCACAGCCTCACTCACTCGCTCTCTTGTTTTCATTCGTCAGGGACATGACAGTGGATGTAAAAGAAGCTGTTTCTTGTCTGATTTTCGCTGCCTCAAGATGTGGTGAACTGCCAGAGCTTATCAAACTGAGAAGCCTATTCCAAAATTGGTACAGCAATGAGTTTGATGATAATAACGTAAATTTTCGGCCAACAAACTTTGTGAAGTTAGAGCTGAAGAGTGTTTTGTCCTCTGGTTCAATATCTAATGAAGTGAAGCTTGAACTAGTCAAAGAAATTATCAAAGACTATGCTGATTGTCGTTCGATGAACTGTCAGCAGGTGAGACCGAACTGACACTGAGTTTAATCAATCTGTTGTTCCCTTTCATTTCTTATTCTGTTTCCTGTTGTTACAGGTTTGTGATGTTGATGATAAAAAACACTACTTTAAGGATAATCAAGCTCTGAATAAAGGAAAATCATCACCAGAGAAGCCCAAGCATACTGAAAGCATGCAAAGTTTACCAGATAGGATGATTCTAGATTCTTTAAATCTCGACCAGTTAAGTGAAAGCGGCAGGGATTCTGCACTTCAGACACTCTATCTCAACGACAAAGATGTTAGTTTTTTCCTGCATATCGCTCCTTAACCATCCTTAATACCCAGAAAAAGGAAGAAATGAAAGAACTATTTCTACCTCATTAGATGCCATAGAAATTCCATATCATACCATTTTTATTTTTATTTTTAATTTTGTTCCAGATTTATGTTATCCATGAAGAACAGTATGAAGGTTATCAAGAACAAGGTCTGAAATATGAAAAGGGGTTGTCAAAATTCCCAAAGAAGCCTAATCCTGGCTATATATCAAAGAAAGCCAGCAATGAAAGCCATGAAATAAATTACATTGACGATGCATCCTCCCGGAAATTATTAGAGAGTACACCCCAAATCCAAGAGAAAGACATTGTCTATTTGGATGATATGAAAGAAAAGACACTGCCTCGGAGTTATTACGACTATGAAGCTACTAATCTATCTCCGAATTCAAATGGTGTAGGAAAAAGAACACTACTTTGCTGTGACACAAATGCTTATCAGCCACTTCCTCAGGAACCCTCAAAGAAGGAAAGCAACAAGCATAACCTCAAGAAGTCTGCAGGAGATGATAACAAAACAAGAGTACGAACTGAAGCATCAGGCAATTTACGCCAAAGCTATGATGGTAGGATGAAACAAGATATGCAACAAAGCAAGAAAAGAACATTAAATGGTTTCTTTGAAAATGAGGGAGGAGATAGAAACAACTTTTTATTAGGTCATGTCCATCCCAAGCTTCCTCACTATGAAGAGCTAGAAGCTAAGTTCAAGCACCCAGAAGCTGGAGTAGGAAACGGTAGTAAAACTAATTAGCAAAATAGAGATTTTCTTACTAATCTATGGCTTAATGTAGATATACTTCACTATTTTGTGGATAAAATTTTCATTTCAGCCAAGCAATGCTTTCTTGTAGCCTAGAATAGCATAAAGATAGCAAGGGGAAAAAAGTAGGGGGCGAAAAAACAGGACCAGGTATATTCAAAAAAATTGCATTACAGGGGTATATAACCAAGTACATACAGAGATATCAACCCAAAGAATACAAGCCATAAACAAAACTATAAAAAATCAAGTTGAATAATGTACTGGATCAAGGAATGATATGCACACACTATAGCCTAAAGGACTTAAAATGAATAACTCACAGCTAGATATAATTCACATGCTCTTGAAACTAAGCAGCAGGCATCAAAAGTTGATTTGTGGAACTGGTGATCCTTGTGCCATATGTTTATCGTAGTGGTTAAAATTTGTGCAGCAAGGGACCCTCGCTCCCTTCCTTTATTATCTGCAGTATAAACATGAGAGAACCATCAAAACCGGTGTATAAAATTATCTGTGTTTTCTCTACAACTTATTGTGACGCTTTCAGTCTTTCTTTCGACCAAACATGAGAAGCTTCCTGAAACCTTTAGCAGATTTTGGAGAGTTTTCAGCACCATCCCATTTCTTCCTCTGGATGGGATCTACACTCACTTCATTAGTTGGTGGAGGAGTTGATTCTTCTATCTCGGAAATTTCTGTAAAGCCTAAACTATTCCCGGTTTTAGTAGCTTGCTCCTCTTCGATCAATGCAGAACCCAGCTGTTTGGGAGGCGACTCTGGCAATGGGTGGATGCTCAATTCTGGACCAGATTTATGATGATCATCAGAAACTTTTTCCTCTTTTGGAAAAGATAGAGATTCTTTAGATATTTTATCATTTTTTTCCTCAAGTAAATCCAAATTTGTGGGATGATCTTCAACAAGGTTGCCTACCTTTTCATCTGAAGAATTGATCTGTGCTACTACTTTAACATCTTTATTGATGATTGAAGAAGTAACGTGCAGCTCTTTAATGTCTTTTGGATCCTCAGTCTGTACTCCTTGCATAGAGGGCAACTCCATTGTTGACGCTGGGGCGCCAATCTTTTTAGTACCCTTTTCCTCCTTATTGTCTGCAACTGATGAACTTACCCCGTTTACATTTTTAATGACAGCTTTTTTCTCCGAAGGCTTGTTTTTTTCTGCATTCACTTTCTTGGCATCTACACTGGCAGTCTTCTGTGATCCAATGTTCACATTAGCACCTTTTACCTTAGTAGCTTCTTTCTTCGGTTGAGTACTTGGGGCTATTGGAGATGTCTTTGCAGCTGCGAGTCGTTCAATGGTAGAACTTCTGAGGATGGGCTTAGGTTTTGACTTATCAGAGCTAACGGTAGATGGAACTGCTTTACTTCCTGTTTGAGGCTTTCTAGATGTTGCCGGGTTACCACCAGTTCTTTCAGCAATTCGCTTTTGCCTTCGAATAACTAACTCTTCCATTCTCTTTCTTCTTTCTTCATCCTGTCAATAGTGATCATAGAGAAAATGAATAAATGCAAATGGAAATAAAACGACTTGACAGATAGCTTATATGTGGGTACCCTAGTTCTGTATTCTTCCGTAAATCTAGTGCAGTCCCCCCTCCCCCACCCCACCCCAACCCCCCAAAAAAAAAACAAAAAAAAAGTATCAGGTAATAACTATGCTCTTTTTAGCAAAACAAAGAATTTAGCTGTTAAATATAAATTATAAAATTAAGAATTATATTTGAGCTTTGGAAGGTTCATTGTAATTTGATTTCAAAAATGTACTTGAATAGCATTATAAGCTGCCTACTATGAAAGATCCTTCTAGAAATGATAAATACCTTCTCAAGTTGGGTCTTGGGAGTAGATGTTTTACTGCCAAATGTTGACCTTTTAGGCCCTGGTGTAGTATCAGATTTAGTTTTCCTTAATGATCCACCCAAGGTTGATCCACCCAAGGTTCTTGATCTAGGGTCCTTCGTGGAAGCTTTCCCACTCTTTTTGTTGTCAGGTCCTTTATCATTAGAAGAGTCTACACTCGCATCTACATCTGATTTCTTAGCAGGATCATTCACGGACATGTAATTTTCAAAATCAAGTTCAGGACTCCAAGATGGTTTTACTTGTTCCACCACGACATCATGATCACGAACCATGTAAATAGCATCCGGTTCATAGAAATTATTTGTTTCAGACTTTTGCTGAGGAGCTGTTGTTCCATTTTTAAAGAGAGTGGCCTCAACCATATCAGAAACAAAGCTAATATCAGTCTTCACTTGGGATTCACGGTGGTCATCGGTTAGTCGCCCCTGAATCATGAGAGAATCATCAATAACATCTTTATTTTTCTTCTCATCCTGATCAGCTGAAGATCTCACATAATCTCCTTCAATAAACCTCTGATGGTTGTTTCCACCCTGGTATGATGCTACATCTGATTGTTTCCCAACAAACCAATCATCACTAGTTTGACTTTTGACTATGGAAGAATGGGAAATATCATCAGACAGTGGCACTAGTGCATAACTTTCCAGCTGTTCACCTCTTTGCGAAAATAGGAATTCCTCAGGTGCACTACCCCTTCTCAATATTGGGAGGGTACTCTCACTGGGGTCAAAGCCTTGAGCAGAGAATTTACCTGTGTCAGCATCATGTCCTGTACCCTTTCCAGTAACTAGAAAAGCATCAGTAGCAATTGGTTTCTGCTTTGATCTCTCTTCTGCTTCTGGTTTGAATGCAGATGAATTTAGCTCATGGGACCTATCTGTGGTAAAATATTTCTCTTCAACCAACTCCGAATGTGGCTGAGGATTGTTAGAATCTGACTCCTCCTCCCTCATTAACAGCTGCTGCAAAGCATCCCAATTTTCATTTCCTTTTTTCCCATTCTTCACTGAAACATCTTCATCATCCTGGCCAGCAGGACCATTAACAGAGCTAAGGTGCTTGGAGCCATTTCGTTTTTTGTGATGGCGAGAGGTTGACTTCTTATGCTTCTCAAAGGACCCAACTGCTTCCTCCAGCTGCTGCTTGAGGGAATCACCATTTATATATTCATCCTCATCAGATGAATTGGTCTCAGAAGACCCATCCTGTTCTCCATCTCTTTTGTTAGTAATATAATTAATATTGCGTATAACAACTTTTCTTGAACCTTTTTTCCCATGCTTTTTCCTATGAGAATGCTCTGACGAAGAGTCTGTCTCAGAACCAGATCCACTGGACTCAGAGTATTCCTCACGATCTTCCTTCTCTGATCCCCGTGCATTAGAGGCTTTTCCCTTCTTTCTGGATGATGATTTGCGATCACGGCGATCATATGATTCATGATTAGCAGAATTATTAACATCAGAAGGCCATGGAATATTTGCAGGGTAATATTGTGGGGGAACCTGCATGCCTGAGTAACCATAGCCTTGATAGGGGGGCATCTGCTGATACATGGGACCCTGAAAGTTACGAAGGTATGGTGGAAATTGTTGTGCCCATGGATGCGGCATTTGTGCTTTTGCATCAGTTGGTTGAGTCTGAGAATCTACATTGTATTATAAGAAAGATTTCAGGAAATAATCCAGAAGATGTTTACATTTTCACAGTGATAACTAAGCAAATCGACAGATTTGTCTATGGTCAATCCAATACAAAGGTATGGACCAAGGATAAAACCAAGTATGGAAGACTGATAAAAATGAAAACTGACATGGTATGAAAATCTTTAACCTGGTCTATGTGTCAAGCAACATGATGGGAATGGGGAATAAGCTATATAAAACCAGTTTTAATATCCATAATATAGTTTGCAGCATAAACCACATTAATTAAAATGGTACAGACTACAGAATATTAAGACCATATAAAGGTTGTAGAAGAAAGATAAGTGAACCCGGAGATTGATGCAAGCAACAGTTTATATATTCTCATCTGTACTTTTGTCTGTGTTTGTGAAAATTTGCTACATTGGGTATGCAAGTATCAGGTGGGGTGCTATTTATGCATCTTAAACCGGAGAATATAACATGGAACGTTAGTAGGAGATCGGAAAGTATTTCATACGCACCTTGGGTTGCATCCAAACTTCCATGACTAGTCATAGAATCAGACAGTGACACATCTGTACTTCCGTTCTGCTTCCCTGCAGTCATGAGACCTTGGGAAGGATCATTTTCTTCACCAGCAAGAATAATTCCAGAAGTTCCCAAGAATGCCAATTCGGGTTGCACCATAGCCTGCATTGCAGCAATCTCATCCACCCAAAGCCTATCTTCATTTTTCTTCTTACACAGATCCTTGAAATTTATGCAAGCTTCCCTAAATGTGATAACAATGCAGATATCAGACTTCAGTCAAGCCAAATAGAATACCAAGTTTGTGAGACTAAAATTGAAGTCCGGCTTTTTAGAGGTACGGAAGTTGCAACATTATTTGCAGTCCACGGTTTACTTGTATGTACCTCAAGCGTGAAGCTCCAAAAGCATCAGCAAACAAAATGAGGTCATGCAAATTATTTATTTCAAAGCCAGCCGCCAGAGCTCGAGCATAAACCATAGCTTGTTCTTTCCGGAGTACTGCTTTACGAGTTTCCACCACACGCTGCAAACGGGCCCTATAAAGTGAAATGCAAACAACCAATTACTATCAATGAATTTGTTGACTTCATAAGTTTCATATGACAACACTTTACAATTTCCTTACTTGGAATTTTCTTCCTGTCCAAGATCACTGCTTTCATCCAATTCCCCTTTTGTCTGAAACAGCAATTAAACAAAGAAACTATCAATAACATTGCAATGAAAATGACAAACAGATTAATCTTGCTTGAAGGAATTCCTACCTTAAACGAAGCACCTGAAGCAATAGCATTTCCTGTCAAAATCCAGATTCAAACATTCATCAAACAACTAACAAATTTCTGGTCTTACATTGATAACATTAAATTTCTGCTTACGAAATTAAAATTAAGGATTTCGGTTTCCGGGTTTATGAATTGATCAAATCAAACATCGTATTTTCCATTTCCAACATAATTAATTACAGACATTCATAGTTGTTAAATATACAATATAAGTACATTACACCAAAGTAGACAAAAGCAAGAAAAGAAAAAGATCCCAAAAACATACAAATAATACTATAACTACTATACTATTACCAAAAGAAGGAAATCATTACAATCAATCAAACTCCATTAACATAAAAATTAATGATTTAATTGAAATGATGATTACTCTCCACTTTACCCAGCTCACCCAATACATTGATTTAATAAAGTTCATTGCATCATAAATCTAAATTAACAAAATCCAGTCAAACTAATCTCCAACCCAAATAATTACCAAATCAAAAAAACAATTCAATAATCCAATAAATATAATCAAAGAACAAAACAATTCTCCCTTCATTACCATCATTATCAGTCACAACACCACCATCAACAACCGCATTCGACGCCTCGTATGATTTAATCGAATTCTCCAACTGCGAAATCTCTCTCTCAATCGTCACAAACCGTTCTAGAACCTCCGGCGTACTTACAAATCTCACAAACCTAATTAAACCAAATCAAATCATTACCCAAAATCATCAAATTAAACCAACTTAGAAATTACACAACATTTCTAAATTCAATACTATCTCCGTCTCAAATTATTTGCAACGATCAGACATTTTTCTACTCAAATTTTATATCAAATCGTTGCAAATAATTTGAAACGAGATAGTAATAATAGATAAAATCAACTAATAGATGAGTACCTGAGTACAGTTCCTTTAGTAAACCAGTGAGAATTAACTGAAGAAGAAGGCGGACGAAGTGTAACAGAATAACCACCTTTAGAAATCTGATCTTTAGCAGATCGTAAATGCGCAATGAACGGCGCAAGTAATCCATACGCTAGCTTCTCATTCGATTTCCCAGCAAAAATTACCAATTCACACCTATATCAAGTCAAATATATAAAATCAGTGACGAATTGTTACATATTATACTACATCCGTTTCAAATTATTCAAATTATTTGCAACGATTTGATATAACGGCGTGAATATAAAATATCAAATCGTTGCAAATAATATGAAACGGAGGTAGTATAACTCATTAGATTATTTTTTTTTTTATTGAGTCAAACCTGGTACGAGTAGGAGTGAGCTGGAAGAGGACGTAATCGAGACGAGTAGTAGACTCCATTGATGATGAATGAAGAAGTTAGAGGAAGAACAAGTATTGTGATGAATAAAAGTATAGAGAAGAAGGTGAAGAAATGATGAAGGATGGTTAATGGTGTAACAGAGACATTCTTGGTAAGTACAGAGAAGAGAGAAAAATAAATGATAATGTATTAAGGTAAAATTGGTAGAATTTTTATTGTTTGTTTATAAATTTAGATTAGTTTAGGTTCACATGGAGTGAACAGAGGAAGAGGGAGGAGAGAGAAAATAGACAGCAAGAGGTGATGAAGAAGAGCACATGGGAGTGAGGGGGAAGAAGGATGGATGTATTCCAAAAAGATAGAGATTTCTTTTCTGGGAATTTTTTTATTTTTTATTTAATAATAATAATAATAAATAAATAAATAAATTTACCGGGAAAATGTGGGGCCGGAGTTTTTTAGCTTGGTAACTTGGAAATAAATGCCGACAGCCGGCTTACGCCCCGGTAGTTAAGTGCCGTTGTTGTATCGAATAATTACAATTTTACGGATGAGGTCAATTTACTGAATTGTTGACATAGATTCCAAGAGGAACAAATTTAATATGCTACTCTTTCCATTCTTTTATTAAATTTCTATTTCTACATAATTATAGACAAAAATTAGATAGAGAAAGTAAAAAAAAAATTACAACATGCGTGCAAAATTCAAGACTCAAGAGTATATTAGGATTTATAATGAATAAAGTTAAAACAAGTGAGGGTATAATGATCTTAACTTACTATCCAAAAATGAAAACAAAATAACATTTTGGATCTCTAAAATAGGAAAAAATATCTATATATATATATATATATATATATATATATATATATATATATATATATATATATATATATTTTTTTTGACAAAAGCAAAACACAACAAAATTACACGTAGTCCGAACCACTAGTACGACATTCCTTAGCAATCTCGTCTGCCCTCTTTACCTGGTCCTTTTGGACTTTTAAAACGGTGCACCTATGAAACGAGGTACCCACATCCCTAATATCTTTCACCATCCAAGTAATAGAGACATCCTTACCTGAATCACCTTGAATATTGTTAATAAGTCCAATGGAATCCGAGAGTATGAGGATCCCTTGCTTACCTTTCGCCCTAGCCCACTTCATAGCTTCCAAGCAGGCCCAAGCCTCACATTGTAGCGCCGAAGTTGCCACTCCATGTTTTCCCCCCTCACTATCCTCATTACCATGGTTACTCCCTATAACTGTCCAACCAATCCCTGCTCTTGTTGTCGTCTTATCCCACGAGCCATCCACTCCCACAATAAACTTGTCGTATCCCCTCCTCTCTTTACCCAATTGCACAGCGTTGAATCCCGGGGGAATGTATGGGTCATCCCCAAGGTTATCAATAATATTATTACCAATCCCATTGTTTTGGCAGAAAATATCATGGTCTCGCATTGCCAGGTTAAAAAATTCCAACACAAGGCTTGCTCCCCCATCAACACCCTTAAAGCATCGAGCATTCCTAGTCTTCCATAGCCCCCATAAAGTAGCAATAAACTTAATGCTACGAGTGCCATACCTACCATCCTCGCTATAAAACAGCAGGATATAGTGCTGGATCCATAATCTCAAAGAATTGAATCCAGAAATGTCATAGCAAATTGCCAGGGAGCCATTCTCCCAGACCTCCTTTGCTAGATCACATAGCCTAAAAAGATGTTGGCTATCCTCCTCATCCATCCCAAAAAAATCACAAGTCACCTCAACTTGTATACCTCTTTTAGCCAAATTTCCTTTGACTGCAATTCCCTCATGAAAAAGCTTCCACAAAAATATCTTCCACTTGGGTTGAATCTTCATTCCCCAAATGAGCTTTATAAATCTCTTCTCCTCATGTGAATATATAATAGGCCCTTCTTCTTTCTCCTTTGTCAGGAAGTAGTATCCTGTCTTAACAGTGAACCTACCTGACGGGTGGTATTTCCAATAGAGGAAATCATCTTCCTTAGAACTGGAAGCTCCATTGCTAGAATTAACTTCGCACTATCCCAATCAAAGCATTCCTTAACCTTTCCCACCTTCCACGTAGCCGACTCTTTGTCAATAAAATCACTAACCTTCCAACATAACGAAACCCCTAGTGTTTGACTCGAGTTTGCCACTGGAATCTTTCCATTGACCCAAGGTGTCATGATTGCCTTAATACTTTCCCCATTTCCCACTTTCCAAGCAAACCCTTCTTTAAAAGAACTGGTCACTCTTTGCAGACTTGACCTTCCCATCGACGGACATCCTATTCTCTCATAGGGCTTAGAGAAATTACATATTCCACACGGTTGGAATCCTCCACGTACCCTTGATAGCAAGAGCTGTGGGTTCAAGTGCATTCTTGTTGCCTGTTTGAAAAGAAGGGCATCATTAAGAGTTGACATACCTTTAATACCTAGCCCTCCCATACCCTTGGGTAGCTGAATAGTCGATCTATTTACCCAATGCATACCCTTATTCCCAATATTAGACCACCAAAACCGGGTAATGAGGGAATCAATTTTGTTTACCACAGCTTGAGGAAGCTTCAGACATTTCATAACATGCGCCGAAATGTTGACCAGTACTGTGTTGATTAAGATAAGTTTGGCTGATTGAGAGATGCGCAAGGAGGCCCAAGAGATGACCTTGTCAGAAACCTTGTCAACTAGAAATTGAAAAGAGGAGCTCTTTTTTCCTTGAATATCCATTGGAGCCCCTAGATGAATCCCCATGTTGTCAGTCTCGGCCATGCACAAAATTCTTTTTAGGGAAGCCCGAGTACTGGTATCAATACATGGAGAAAATTTGACATAGGATTTTTGAAGATTTAGTTGTTGACCTGAAGCACTATCAAACCTGTGCAGAATGTCTCTGATGCAACCACAAGATTCTTCCGTTGCTTTAAAGAAAAGCATGGCATCATCCGCAAAGAAAAGATGTGAAATCAAAGGGGACCTTCTTGACACTTTCAACCCCTTGATTTGACTGATATCCTCTGCTAAAGTCAGCATCCTTGATAGGATATCCATACAGAAAATAAACAGATAAGGGGATAGAGGATCCCCTTGCCGAAGACCACAATTAGGAGAGAAATGTTCTGTGGTTTTCCTGTTGATGACAACCTTGAAACTCACTGTCGAAATGCACTGCGAAATCATTCTAATCCAGTGATTAGAAAACCCATAGGCCTTTAAAACCTTAAGAAGAAAAGTCCAATCTACCCTGTCATATGCTTTTGACATATCAACCTTCACTCATAATGCTTGTAGCCTTGTACATGTGAAATCTTAAACTTAAAAAATGTCCATGTCATGCATGTATCTTACAAAATAAACATCGCCTTTTAAGGTAGAACATTTGGGATAAATAAAAGGTATGTGGAATCATCCTCATAATGCTTGTAGCCTTGTACCCCATCTACTATTATAATGTTCGTATGCTTTTCTTGATATATATATAATTTTTTTCTCAATATATACATCATCATCTTTCACTTTTGTTATTTCATTATCCTCTAAAAGATCAATTTTTAAAGAAAATGTTAGTTACAATTGAAACACACTATTAAAAATAAACCTAAAAAAAAAACCTGAATAATCAAATAAAATATTTATAAACAAAATTAGATACCGTGCAATGTACGGTTTATATAAAACATATTTTTAATTTGTACATTTTAATAATAAATTGCTATTGTCATTTATGAGGATATTAGTCTTGCTAGAAAATGGTTTGATGTTTGTCTATTCTCTCATGTGAAAAGGGCATATAATACTGTGGCTCATCTTGTTGCAAGATGGGATACGGGTGTGAACTCGGAATATGTACGTTTGGATTCCTTTCCCAAAGTATTATCACTTTGGCGGATTTGGATATTACTTAATTAATATACATGCTCTGTTTCCCTAAAAAATAATAATAATAATAATAATAATAATAATAATAAATTGCTATTGTACATTAACATAAATAAAAATTACGTACATTTTGTAATTTAAAATCTTTTATTTTCATCAAAACTATGATATAGTTATTATTCGACATTGTCTATTTCATAGTTCAATATAGGAGATTATTTATTAGCGTGTTAGTTAAAATCGTTTCAATTTTCTACGATAAATTGTTAGGTTTTAGTTGTAAGATAGAAGCTTCTAATATTTAAATTTCAAAAATGTTAAATAAGATAACACTGTACTACACACACACACACAAAATAAATAAATAAATGACATAATCATTGCATTTAGGCGAGAAATTTTTTATTAAGATAATGACACATGGGCAGTGATGATGTCATCATTTTCTGTTTTAGTAATAGTTAATAGATACGAATTTGACATATTGTTAGAAATGAACATAATTCAATATACAAATGAACAAGTATTAAACCATATTTTCCTCCCTCCTTGGCCTTGTTTGGCAATTGGCTGCTGGCTATTGGCTGTCGGTTGGTTTGATTGACTGGTTTGACTAACTGTTTGTATTGACTTTTTTGTTAGCTGTTTGACTTTTTATTAGTCTAAAAACATGTTTGATAAAATTGATTGTTTAGATGCCATTAGTAACTTAGGTAGCCAAAAAGCTTTTTCATTTTGGCTTAAAAGCTAGCTTTTTCAGCTGACTGAAAAAACCATTTACCAAACACAAATTTTGGATGTTTAACCAAATGAAAAAGCCAAAAGCCAATAAAAAAAGTCAATGAAAAGTCATTTACCAAACAAGCTCTTATCTCCTTTTTACTTTTCTCTCATCCATCCTCATTTTTTTACTTCTATTTTTAATTTTTCTATAACTTTCTGTATAAGGAATCAAATAAAAGAAATTTGATTTGGAAGTATGGTTTGCTCTTGAAAATATGTTACTCCCTCCATGTGTTTTTTAAGTGTTACACTTATCAAATCTGACCGTATCTTAATAAGTGTTACACTTCCTTTTTTGGCAAAAAGCTACATTTAAATATTATATATCTCTCCTCTCATGGTCCCACGCGCTCAAACCCGCTACTACTTTTTTTTATTATATATATATCTCTCCTCTCACATTCATTACTTTTCAATAAACTATTAACCCCACTATCTTTCTTTTTCAATTTTTTAATACTCCAAGCTTATTTACATTTTAAAGCTTTTTTACGATTTTTTTTTTACTTAAAATATTTCGGGTTTTCAGGTCGGGTTCGGGTTGACCTGACCTGATTTTAACCTGAAATTTATTTCGGGTTAAGTGGGTCATTTTCGGGTTGAGATTTTCAACCTTAACCTAACCCATTTAATTTCGGGTTCGGGTTCGTGTCAACCCATTTAAGTTTTCGGGTCAAAAATCTCAACCCTAACCCGCTTTTTTCGTGTCGGGTTTGGGTCGGGTTTTCGAGCCGAGTCAGTTTTTGCCAGCCCTAACTCCAACTACCCCACTTACCTCTTATTTTACTTAATTCAATTAAATTGCCTAACACTATGCACCGATCAAAGTGTAACACTTAAAAAAACACGGAAGAAGTATCCACGAAATCTAATTTTGCAATAAAAATATTTTGCATCAAACCGAACGAGGTGTTAGCTTGTACGGAGTACAAGTTTTTCATGGATCATATAAAAACTAGAGTAATCCATATATACTTTATATAATTTTTTATTATTTATTGTTATCCTTTTTTTTTATTATTATTATTATTTTACTTATTGATTGTATGATATGTGGTATGACAAAATTAAAGAATTACATTTGTGGACAATCAAAATTAAAAGAAGATTAAATTGAGTAGTGAGAATACACTAATGATGACATTATGGAAAGGATTAGGTGAGTTAAGAAGTCTTATCGATTTTAAGTAACAACAATAATACTAATTACTAATCTAATCAAAATTAAAGGGAGGCTTATAGTTGAAGAGAATATGAAGGGAAAAAAAAATGAAGGGTGGCCTTCTTTCCACTCTATCTTAGAAGTCAGCTGGAGAGTGATGTTGTTGGGTGTGGGGTTTAGAGTGAGCAGAAGGGCAAAGAATTTTAAAGTTGAATATATCTCACAATTTGACAACCTCTCACATTATTACATTATTTACAATTTACATACTTTGTAACATGTATATATAGTTTTTCTACTTATGTTTTTTTTTTTTTAATTTCCTTTATCATGTTATTATTATATGACCTTGTTGTTGTTTATAAGGAACTAATACAATGATGGTTTAACAAACAACTCTTACTATTTGATTGTATTTAACTAATTGTTGGTGTTAGATGATTCAATTACTTGATTGTACTACTTTTTTACTTGTTTGTTTGGTTTGGGTTTTGAGTTCAATCAATCGAGGATGTATAAGTTTTTTTTGATGCAGTTTTGTTCATTCAAATTATTTCAAGTTTGTCAATTTTTATACTATCCATTCAACATTAATCATTTAAGTATTAGTTATTGACTATGCATGTATCAGAAGTATTTAATTTATAGTTAACATGACCTGATAGTTCATTGAAATGGTTGGTCCATTATCGAATTTTAAGCTAGAGAAATTCTATAACTCTAGCTTGAGTTATTGATGCCTCTAATTAATAATGTTTGTTAGCGTTTTATTGTGCCTAGATGATATTATACTTAATATGTATTACAAGTAACAAAGAATTCGATCAAATCATATACCAACAAAACGGTTGGTACTAATGAAGAAGTAATTATATTGAAGTGAAATTTTTCATATTTTAAAATTATGAAATTAAAGATAGTGATAAGTAAACAATATTAATCTTTATCTCATCTAATACTAATTTGGGAAATATAAGCTTAATTAATTGAATTGAGCAGTCTTAATCTTGTCAATTACAAATGATTTA